TTTCGGGTTCGCGTCCTCGCCTGGGCCCACTAAGAGTCTTCTGACCTGTGTAGGCAACAAGTCACCCACAGGCTCTCCTGGGATCAACGACAAACGTCTTTGCAAAGAGTGCGACGCAAAGGAGCGAGGCGTTTTTGTTCTTTGCGGTCTTTAAGGTCATATGTCATGAGATACGGTCAATGTTCCAACGGTCCAACAGTGATCGAGGCAGCTAGCAGCTAGCAGTTTCTTCTGTTTGAAATCGGGTCATCTCGTCCTCTGAACAGCAGTGTTTCCCGGTCGAAACTCTCGATGGACCCCCGAGTCGTGCACTCTGCGTTTCCTCCGGTCCAAGAAGCGGAAAAGCTTCTGCTGCAAGTCTGGGCTCAGTCCCTGTCGTAAAGCATCCTGGTCCTCCTCCTGAAAAAACGACGCGGTCCACACTGTGGTCGCTGTGAGCTACAAAAATTGTCAAGATGGCCCTTCCACGTACCTGTCTTGTGCACATCCAACATGTTGAGTAAAAGGGGGGGTGTTTTGTGGCTTTCGGGACAGTCAACTTATCGTCTTGGAGTTCACTAGTTCCAAGGCGATAACTTGAGTGCTATTTAAGGACAATTCAAGGACCAGTGAGCCCCGTCCTCGAGTCTCTTCCGTCGTCCCACCTGTTCAATGATCTTGACATCCAGGATTCTTTTGCACCCCAGACAGACATCAGTCCTCTGCCCAATTGAGCCATGACAGGTCACTGTACATTTGAGCTGGCGGACAAGTGTCTTGCACAGCCTCTCCGTGTATTTTCACTGCCTGCAGCATTGAGTCCAACCCTGGATGTTGGCTGAACCACAATGCTGCGAAGCCATCAACGTGCTCTCGTTGCAGCTTCGCATCGAAACGCCCGAGAAGACAAGAAACGAGACGATCGAGACATCGAACAAGACCAAACGAAAATCAACGAGACGATCTGACCGACAGTTCAGTTTATTAATGAAAGCTCCTGAACGAATGAGACAGTCGGATCCGAGACACGGGAACAAACGTCAATGTGGGCGTCCAAAAAAGCATCAAATGCTGATTATAGGGGAAGGGCACCTCAAACCGGACAAACACAACAAAACTAACGACAAACACAAACAAACCTCGAAGGTCGAGCCCGCCGACATGTCCTCTCAGCCCAAGCACCGCGAAGGTCGAAATACCCGAGTCGTAACGCCGAAGGAGACGTCACGAAATCGACAATGAAACGCGAAGGTCGATTTACGCGACGAGCAACACGAAGAAAACGGTCCCCAGCCACCCCCCAACCCCCCCAGTCGGAAACGTTTGCTTTTGGGGCAAACCCCCCCATTGTCCCAACATGTTGCTAAAGCATACAAGCAGCGCTTAGCCGAAGGAAAACAGCCAAATAAAGAGTCTTCGTCTCGCTTGCCAAACAAAAGGCTGTCCAAATTGATCGCAGTAGCACCTGTCAAACACCCTATATAATATATAATCAGCTGGGCTTCTAAGACTACTTCAAAAGAATCACCTGCAGGTTACCGTGACCAAAAACACAATAACAATCCCATAGAAGAGTCTATCCACAAGAAAATGGACAAACACCATGCAAAAAAAAAGATATAGACACTTGGGAGCTCGTTTTCTGTCACTCAAGCACTCCATTTCTTTCACAACATGATGTATCTGACTGAATTCAATTTCTGTCACTGAACTGGACGTCCAGGATCGGTGGCTTAGCAGAACTGTGCAAATCCTGTCCACTTGTTTCGAAGGATTGAAGGCTCCAGACAGCGATGTTGATCTATTTGAAAGCGCCAACGTGTCTGTGATGTCAGAACCGATTCACGCCCCAAGAAATCGTCAGAACCGAGTCTGTCTAGCAGGTCAAGGCAGGTCACAGTGTCAAGTGTCAAGGCAGGTTCCATCCTCCAAGTTGAGGAAGAGCAACATACCAAGTCTGAAGACACCTGAGCAACATGTGCTCACCATCGGTCAAGTTCAGCTCCTCATGGTTCTGGTCAGGCAATTGATGAAGATTGGTAATCCGAATCGATCATCATCAGCATCATCATGAATCAACATCTCATAATCTCGTATCATCGCATAGCAGCATAGCAGCAGCAGCATGTCCATTCCGTTCAGAACCCCGCACGGCGCTTCGATTTGCTCATGGTTCTGAAAGAATCTGAAAAGAAGGATCATACCTTTGCGTGGCTTTCTTAGACTGTCTGGGTGTGTCGGACTGTGTACCCCAAAAAGAACAACAACATGCAACAACAACAACAACAACAACAACAGCAACAACAACAACAACATTATGATGTTCACATCCACGGCATACATGCAGATTTCAAGTACACTCTCTCAAAATCATCATGGAAGTTTATGGCACGGCCCAAAGAGGATGACCCTTTTAGCCCGTTTCCTCTACGAACAAGTGGCTTTCACTCCACTTCTGACCATCCACGGAGTGCACTGACCATCCACATGTCCAGTCCCTCAAGCGACTGCGACTCGCGGCTGCCCTCCATCTGCGACTGCGCCGCTCAAGAGCCGCTGCTTCGCGGCTTCGACTCCATCCCGCAGGACTTCGAACCTGAGGGCGGTTCCGCCCACCCGTTCATGGCAGTCTCCAAGGGAGCAAAACCCGGGGGGGTGAACGGTAAGAGGGGAGATTAGACCCTGTGTGCCGGTCACCTTTCCCCGCGGCGTTGCCGGCAGTGTTGGGAGCCACACGCGGCGTCGCCGGGAGAAGGTGCAGGTGGTCCGACTTTTCCATCCTTGAGAGACGTCCCTTTTACATCGATGAGGATGGTCCCTCTCCGAAACCAACCGGGTACATCCGGGTACTCTCGTTTGGCTGTCCCCGTCTACGGATTGGGTGTCACACTTATCCTAAGACTCCACAGAACCCTCATATCTTGGCAGTATTCATGGTGTGGTTCCAAGCATCTTCAAGCCTGTAATATAGCAAAAGCACATGAACCGAACAAATGGACACCTGACAAAACACCATTATAACCACGTTCGCTGGATATCTCTGAAACCCCTTCCATTCAATCCTCTGTGGATCGGCAGAATGTATGAGTGTTCGGGTTGGAAACACCGGTGAGTTGGCGGTTCGGCACCTGCCGTTGCAGTGGTCCACCAGCGTTCAGACCGAATCACAGTGCAGGGAGTGCGCTCGCGCACAAGTGCGCTCGCTCTGTGTGCTATCTTCATCATCCAAAACTTGTGATTCTTAGCCCTGATGTTTCTTACAACATCAATATCCTTGTCATGTCTTGTCATCCAAAGTGTCCGTTCCTTCGCAAACGGCACAGCCAAGTGGCAAGGGTCTCTGCAAAACAACGCTGGGTACTTGCAACAAGGGCAGCAAACCCCGTTGCCAGACCAGCACAATGCAAATCCTTAGGGAAGGCATCAACAAAACCAACAACAGAACATAAGGAGTGGATTTACACATATTTACACCAATCCAACATATTAACAAAAAATATCCAAAGGGCGGTAAACCTAGGACCAACCAAGGCTTCTAGCATTTGGCCCACAATAATTGGACTCACAGGGACAGGGATCCAACTTATTCGACTAAGTAGGGCCGGGCCTAAGCGCTTTCAAAGAACGCGACGCGTTTAGCATCGTGTCGCTTCATTCTCGCGCTTGTCACGACTGATTTGAGATAACAAAAACACAACTAGAAGATACCCAAGACTAGTACCATCACAAAGTGGGCTCTCACCAAGTGTTTAAGTCTCAATTTCATGTCGCGATCACAAAGTTGCATCTTGCGCACGCATGCAACGCCCGATTTCATAGTCTACGGTAGAGGAAATGGCAAAGCTCAGGGTGTGTCAAACTTGTAGCCTTTTGGTCGCCCCACTTCACTGAAGCCTGACATAGACCCTTGGGCCAGCCTTAAAGAAAGTGACACCTTTGGTGCTTTTTGTGTCGCTTCCCACATGGCCATTATTTCAATATGACAATTGGTTTGACCACTCCTGAATCACAAGAACATCTTAAGATACATCCTTCTTCAGGATCTGCATCGAGCACACGAACGCACGCGACTTTCACCGAAGCAGCGCCAGGAGTGCTGCTGCAAGAGTCCCAAAACACCAAATCAGCATGGCAGGAATGGCCCAAGCGCACAGGAACGGCTCAATTTTGCGTGACTGTACACAGAATCACCCGTGGAACAGCATGCGTGATCATGTATGTAATTGCGGAAGTTTGATATGAAACCAATGATTCCGAGTCCTGAAGAGTTTGAATAGTTATCAAACAGGTGTGCATTTGAGTGAAAGAGTACATCCACCCCCCATCAGGGCAATGTCTTGGCAAATTAGTCTACATTTATATAATTAGTTTATATAATCTTCGCATGTTACCCTTAGCAATGATCTTAGAGTATTAAACCATTGCATTGCCTAATAGGCACCTTTTATGCTAGCTGCCCAACAGCTGCAGAGCGAACAAACCAGGAATTTAATCTTACACGACTCCATGCAATCAGCCCACTAAAGTGCCGGCTGCCCAAACTGCTACCCTGCAATGGCCTGAAACAGTGGCATGTGTGCGTTGAACTCTAGTGCTGTATTGGTAGCAGTGGTGCTAGTGTAGTAGCGGTAGTAGTACGTACGACAACGGTGCATGAAGATTTGGTGCTCAAGGACCCAAGGAATGCTCGCCGACGTAACCATAGAGATCCGTCTTCATAGCCTGAACCTCGGCAATCCAGGGTTTGGGGGCAGGTTTTGTGAGAGACTCCCCTTCTCAACGTTCGTGAGGAGCATTGAAGCAGTCCCAGTCACACCGAGTGGATCTCTGCGTCTCTGGCCGTTTCTGGCCGTTTCTGGCCGTCCGTGGACGTGGTCTGCGGGTGTCGGTGCCTCTGGAAGACCATGACTCTGCAAGTTCCGCCTCTTTCGACTTGGTGACATTGGACATCTTCGTGACTTGATGACTCTCCTCCGGTAGGTTGAGGATGTCAGTAGTTGACGAGGCGATCCCCAGTCAGTGTGAGTATCTCAAACCACTGTCTTCTGCAGAATCGAGATTGAGGCACCAAGAAAGTAGCTGACCGCTTCAGGAAAACCCGTTGGCGATCCTGCGGCAGCCTTCAGCTAGGTCTCTGCATTTCAAGACGCTGCGCCTAAAGCCGCACGACTTCAAGCGCGGCCCGACGAGATCGCCATGAGATCTCGCGACACACATGGTTCCATGGGCCATCTTTTGTGGCCTCCCAAGGCCAAGCCTAGGGCGAAAAGATTCACTGGCTGATGCCAGGCTATTTACATGAGGGATGAAGGACGTTCTTCACCATAGAAAGCAGCGGCGAATATCCCATCGTTCCATTCGTCCGTCGTAGCCCCCATAGGGGCCAACAGTCACCTCAAGACAAAGAAAACAAGGCCACTTGAAAAGTCGTGTCATCGAATGGATGTCGAATGACCGGTGAGAATAGAATAACTGACCTTTGAGTATGACCAATGTATCTAACAGTTATATATTTACATATTTCATCATATTTCAATATATATTTCATAACGATTAAAACATAAAGGGTCTAGTCACTAGTCTGCCATAAGATCTCATATCCTTGGGAGCCAAGGATTATATGAACTCTTCCTTTCCCCCACATGGGAACAAGGTCCTCACGTCACATCTTACCAAACCGAGCGTCGCCCTCGGGGCCATCGGGCCGCAGGTCTTCCTGCTGCGCCCACTCTTGGAGCCACCGCCAGGCGTCCAGCCGCGGCCAGCGCCTCGGGTGCGAACCTTCGGCCTGGTGGATCACGTTGAGGCCGTTGTACACCTGGCGCCCGATGTACACCGTGTGCTGAACGCTTGTTTCATCTGGTAGACGTTACGTTGGCAGTTGGAGGCATTGGATTTGGGGATTCACCGGTGGCTGAACGGGCGTGTTCTTTTGGGGGGAGGTTGAACCTCAAACGAAGATATCCACCAGGAAAAAATGGAGTTTGCTGGGTTCAGAGCTATGGGCTTTGTCCTGCAACACTTCTATGCTGGGCGATGAGCAAACTGTGGGGGGATGTGCCTCGCGACTGCCGAATATCTTGGAGCAAAACGATGGTTGAGCAAACAACTGAAAAAGATCTTTGTTTTCCTTGGATTGGGCCTCTGTGGTGATAGATGCTCGTTTCTTGGTCAAGGAGGATGAGGATGTGCGTGTGCGTCCGTCTTCATTTTCAAGAGGCTTGTGTTTCGAGCAAGGAACAGGAACATGCAGGCATACTCTTCACTGCTCTTGCACAAAAGCTGAAAGATCCTGTTTATGAACCACTTATGGAGAACGGAGCATGTCAATGCAATACAGAAACGCTTTCCATCCCAGTTTGTGCGGCAAGGTGTGGCAAAACCAGGCCTTCTGCAACGGCAAAAGGCATGTGTGGATACCCAAAGATCCCCGGATCCGAGGGTGACCGGGTGGTACTAAGAGAACATGCACCAAAGGGGTTCGTTACACATCATCCATGTAGATATCAATATCATGTGCAAGATAAAAACCTTCGACCCTATCATCATTCCCTTTGCTCATCAAGGCATGTGGATCACATCCCATCACCTCCCACCACCCGGACCGCGCGCGACCGCGAGACCGCGCGTGCCACCTCCATGAGGAGCAAGTGCTGCACTGGCGCCACCTCCTTCCAAGGTCCCAACAGCCCCTCGAACCCGCAGGGTCTGACAGGCGGTCTTGCAAAATGGTCTGTCAGGCGGTCGGGTCTCTGTGGAAAAGAGTCTCTGTTCAACGAATGTCCAACAAGGTGCACTTGGAGTGAGTCATGCTGCTTCTCCTCCCCCTCTTCCTCCTCTTCTGCAGTGATTGTCATAACCCAGAAGCTGCTTTCCTTGAGAGCCATTTCACAAGACAGAAATGTGTTTGATGCCGTGAATGCCAGCAGTATTCGGTCCTTTGAACCACCAGGCCACTATGGCTGGGTCAACGGAAGGATTTTGGACAAAGCAACAAAAACATCAGCCTTGGTCGAGAAACACGCGTTACATGTGTTTTTACTAACATAAATGACACATATAATTTACAAAAACAAGAAACAATGACAGAAAAAACACATACACAAAACATCGGAGAAACAAGAAAAACAACATGCTAGGCTGAGCTCACCGTGGAGGAACATATTTTGCCCTTGGGATCTTCCGAGCGTCTCTGGCTTTCACTCGGCTCAAGTATTTCATGAGACTCATCCCACCTCGCCTTTCGAGCAGCGCGTTTGCGAATGCGAGCAACGTGCTCTCTCTGCGCACACGTCTACCGTCAGTCTACGAAAGCCACTCGTCTTTTGGCGGGCGAAAAAGAAGCAAGAAGGTCCATAGGTCACTTGACGTGTCTAGGTCAGCCTATAGGTCCTTAATGGCAATCAAATCACAAATCAAGGACACCTTTGCGAGATCTTTCACAAATCCTAAAAACACAAATAGAGAGAGAGAGAGAGAGCAACTCCAGGACTCTAGGAGAACACAACGCCTCTTTCTCACCTACTCTATAGGGAAGAACTCAAATGTGATTTCCTGTTCTCCATGGTGTCAAACCGCCATAACTCGTCCTGGCGCGTGGCCCGATGCCTTTCTACTCGAAGGCAATTTCTCATTGTTTGGCCCACGTGTTGCCTCAGCGCGAAGAAGCGATTCCAAAGCGGAAAAACAAGGTCGGTCTATCCGGACAGATGTTTTTACAGAAATCCAGGATGGACATCAACGAACGGAACACACGGACACGCTCAGAATCTCGTGAGCACAACTGACTAAGTGGCAAATACTCGAAGCTCAGAATCTCGTCGATGCGCACCGTGGCCTTCCTCAGGTACTTGGGATCTTGGAGGAAACGCTCCTGGCGGATGCCGAATGCGTGCGACCCGATGCAGCGGCTTCCCACTCACTCCATGGGACTGGCAGGATACGACTCACGAGCCCAATTGAACCACATATGTATCGCCCTGGTAGACCCACATGGAACCCGAAAACCACTATTGTAGAGTACAATCGTCTTCCAAAGGTCCATTTTCAGGGTCCATGTCTCAATCTTGCGGGGTGTATGTAAATATGTCGTAATATGCCAGTCCGGGAATTGCTTGGATTTGCCCCATGCTGCAGATTGCCGGTCTCTCCTCAACACGCGTCACATGCACGGCGGTCTCAGCATTTTCGTGAACACAACAAGTACTCTGGGATGATAAAGCAAGGGCATTCAAGGGCTCTGGGTCTGGTAACCATCAGCTTTAGTTCCCCACCCCAACTGACTTTCCTGGAAAGCGATAATATATAAATGGACATCGAAGAGTCAGGGAGTACCGGTATCTCTGCAGAACTCCCGTCTCCTCGGCTTCGCAGGGCTCGTACTCATCACCCTGCCAGCTATTTGGAGGGCTTGGCTCCCGAAGCAGACTGGCCTTGTGCACAAAGAGAGAGAGAGAGAGAGAGAGAGTCAGACTGGCCTTGTGTGCTGCAGGCCTCGTGTACTGCAACTGATCCCGTATAGAGAGAGATTTCAAAATAACAGTTATGGGATCAGTTGCAGCAGTGTGTTCTCTATCTATACAACATCTTGGCCATCCAGGATGCCAGTTGTTCCAAAAAAAGAAAGACGTTAAACTGCCTCAAACCGATTGGACGTATAATGACGTAATCATGCCAGCGGCCCCTTCGGTCATGCAGGTGCGGTTGGTGACATCAGTGCATACGGATAGACCGGTGGTTCAGCCCCTCAGCACCACCGGCCCCGAACCGGATGCCTCGCCGATGAGGAATCGGAGACGCTCGGGGACCCAGGTGGCTTCGCCCCTCTTGGCCTCGTTCTCCTGACGAAAGGCCAAACGGCTGAGGCCATCGCTAGTAGAGGCCATCGCTATTAGAAAAGAGACATGACCGGGGGGGCAACAAGAGTTTATAAGAGGTGAATGGGCACCCAATGGTACCCATGTGCCTCTATGTGCCTCCCAGGAACCTCCAAGCGCCTCCTAGGAACTAGCCTGGAAGTCTTTTTGACCGTTTCTATGCCTTCAATAGGGGCGGAAAACGGCCTCAGATTGGCCTAAGCAGTGACCCGAACAGCCAGAGTATCACAAGCTTCGTAGGAGCTCTTGTCCAACAGGAGCCTTCTGGTGACCAAACAGGGCCGCTTGGGGGCCCGTGGCCCCGAAAGCATCCTTCGCTCTGCTGGGATCGACCCTGGAATTCCCCGCCGAGCTATTCTTCGCCCGTCCCGATCTTGGGGCCATCGGGTGTTCGGATCGTTTTGGAGGTACCAAAAAAGACACGTCCTGTTTTGGGAGGGTGTGAAAACAGGTGTAAAATCTCTCCACCCATGTCCTTTCTTGATTCAACCATCTGTCTCAAATATTCCAAATGATCATAACGATCTAACAATTCAACCTCGACTTTCCCACTTGGCGCGCTGCGCCATGTCACATCCTTTAAATGAGAAAGCTGGATTCTGACAAATTGTCTAGCTCAGCTTGCAAAGGATACTTTGTGCTAGACTCCAAGGTGGAAGATATTGCCACACAACCAGAACATCCTAATAAGTTGGAGGATGTTAACGAACATAGGTCGCTCATGTGATTTCTGTCTATTTTGATCCTCTACCAGCACCCTCCAACAGGTTGCAATTGGACGACTGTTAGACCCAAAAAACAATATATAGACTGTTAGATTTAATGACTTTTGTCCAATCAAAGCTGCTAGATTTCAGATTTTGTGCCTGTGGCGGTTGAGGCTCTGGACTGACTGTTCACCTGAAAAATGTGTCAAAACGTGTCAACACGTGTCTCCGTGCGAGCGTTGGGTGTGAACAACCCCATTTGGGGGGTATGTCATGTGGAAACGGGGCATTTGGACGCGAGTGATGTGGCCAGTGCCCTCCGACACTTGTCATGTGGTTTTTGAAGTGGGCAACTACCAGGAACCTTCACAGGTGTCAATTGGGACGTAGTTAGATAACATACATCTTAAAAAAGTTGAATGACACCTGTTGGAGGGTACAATGTTTAAGGAAAGAAACCACATGCCTCACAGTCCCCAAATCCAAGTCCGGCCGAAAGCCGCTCCCCTCCGTTCGGCCGGACCCGGACAACGCCCAGTCTCATAGGGCGAACCAAAGGGCGCCATCACGCCACGCTTCACAAAGCCCTGATGGCGTGGTGAGGGGCCGTAAAGTCGACGAAACCCTAAGGATCCAGTCGTACCGGTTCGGCTGGACCCGACTGGCTGGCACCTACAGAACAGTGTCTCCAATCAGCTTCTGAGAAGGTACGACCGGATCTCTAGGGAGGTATGATGAGTGTGAAACACGAGTGTTTCACGGAATCTATCAGTTGTTTCAATTCCGCACGGGTCTGTGGTCAATCAATATTATACTGTAGCCAATTTGGTTTGTTTTTATTACTCTAGGATGGCACAAGGTAAGTTCAATTGATCTCCATTGATCTCCAAAGAGAGCATGTTCACGGGTCGGGACCAGGACTTTTGCAGGCACAGGTGTGCCTTGATCTTGGCAGGATTGGGCAAAAACCTTTGGCCACTTTGCTGCAAGCGCTCTAATTCCAGGGTGGCAGCATCTCGCTTTGCTGCAGCCAAGACCTGCGAAAACAGCACAAAGCGGCAAACAAAGAATACGCTATGGATACGCTATGGCTGGCCATGGCTGGCTGCATTTCGCGAACTGTTCACGAGTTCTCACTCTTCCAACATACAAATGACGTGTATATTCATCTTAAGTTTTGCTTGAAGTCATCTCGGCATACATCTGTTCTGATTTGGCTGGGTTGATAAAACAAGTCGAGTCCAAGTTCCCCTGCCTTCTTTGGGGCTCGTGGGTTGCCTCCCAGCACCAAGGAGAACTTGGGGTCCAAGGCGCCTCAAGTGAGTGAGTGTAAGTTGGAGTGGAGTGGTTGCGTGAGTGAGTGAGTGAGTGAGTGTGACAAGCACCCCGCATGGGACACATCACATCCGCCTCAAACGTCGCGTGACGATGAAGTCGCCGACCACGCGCGAAAAGCAAACAATGCAACCCTTTTGAGAGGCCCTGGCTACCATTTGCTACCGGCTGACTACTGAGATTCGGTGTTGGCCGCTTTCTGTAGACTTAGGGTCAGCCTTTCCTGTCGAGGCCGTCCACTGATCACCAGATACTTTGAGTCAAACAATTCGAGCAAAGCTGCCACTCCGACAGCTTTAAGTCCGGTGGGTTCCGGACCTTCGTGAGGACAGCCCAAAACCCCCTTGACGGCCCGAGGGGCGTTGAGACAGGAGCCATTCGACACACTGGGCGGCACTGCTGGACTCTTGGAATTCTGGCTCCTGCAGTCGAAAAAGGGTTGAGTCGAAATTGTTTTGGCTTGTGCAAAGCCTCAGAGTCCAAAATAGTGATAAGTAGCCACCAGGTCTTTAGCAACTAAAACTAAGAACCAATTGCCCTGAGACCGCGACTACGAACTATGAACGACATGTCAGGGTCCGTGATCCGCCCACCCGGGCATTTACCCGCCAACCCGGGCACCCCTCGTCCCCTAACGCACGCATCCACAACCAGCTCCTCAGCAAAACGAGAAAGCCATGCAAGGAGCTCCAGGGTGAATTCCTCCTCTTCCACCGTGCCAAGGTCCTCCCAGGGCCAGCAATGACGGGCACAAACAGGGCTGAATCCAACACCGTACCGTACTTGCACATCAACCATATATATATATATATATCACGCAGTGCATCCCAATGAATCCTCTCAACATAATTTTGTGACGTCAACAAAATCAGGTCATGGATGCCACTATGACAACATTGACCAAGAAATTAATCCCCTACATCTATGAACGTGTGCCATTCAGGCAAGTTCAAGTCGATGGCACCTACAGTACCACTCATGTTTTTGCTGGATCAGGTCGTGGCATGTTGTGGGACATCGCTGGATCCTAGACTAGCAAGTCATAGAGTTGGCAGGGCTTGTTGGCTTGATTCCTCTGCTTGGGACGAGTGGCTGCACACAGAAGTTCGGGAGCCTTCGATTCAGAGCCATGTCATGTCTTTCACCGAACGCGGAAATGAAGCAGCCATGTCTTCCACACATGTTCAGCTGTGGATTCAGACCAAGAACGGTGCCCTGATTCCGTTCTCCGACTCGTCGCTCTAGTCTTCTTGACAACCTAATGACAATGTCTCCTTATATTGCTCTGACTTGCAGCCACTTGCTCAGCCACTTGGCAGCCACTTGTCACTCAAGCACGTAAACTTCAACACTGTACTTTAAGTTCTTTATGTAAAAACGGTAAGACTTCTTCATCGCTAGCTCTGCAGAAGTTTGGATCTTTTTTTTTCCGAAAAGTCTTGGACGACTTCATGATTTCTCCGCGCGCAGCTCAGGAGACAAACAGAATTTCTTCGCAGACCACATTGCAGAAATCTTGGTTTTCTTCAGACATCATTATATTATCCGGACAGAAGTAGCAGTCACTTGCAGCCACTTGGCAGCCACTTGCAAGTGGCTGCAAGTGGCTGCAAAATGGAACATCAAAAGGCGCACCTCGTGCGAGCTCAATGGTAATATTTGCATTCCGCATCCCAGGTTTATATACATGCCAACAAGTGCCATGCTCTCCGAAGCGAATCCCAGCTTCCCAACCCCACGGTCCCGGGGACGTGACCAACTCCCACGTCCCTCGCCTTCGCCAGCCGCGTGCGACCCAGCGCGTCACCCAGCACTTTCCCTCCAGCCGCGTGGATCTCCAGCTGCGCGCGGCGCAGGGCCATCAGGGGGCTTTGCAACGTCACCTGGAGCGGGCGATGGCGATGGCGCGGAGGTTGGGAGCCGGGTCGGTGTTCGGTTCCGGGCCGAGTCGAGCCGAGTCGATGGTGTTTTGTTGCGAGAGGAGTTGTGCCGGTGTTTCGTTGCGACGAACGAACCAAACACTCCATGTATGCCATATGCCTACATTGACCCGGCGACAGCGGAGCTGTGGCCGACATTGGACGTACGTCATTCGTCAACCCAAGTTTGATGATGCCAACTATGAGGCCTCTAGGATGAGAAAAGAATCTTGCGTTCTCACCATTAATTAGTGTGCCAATCTGATCATTAGTCCAGAAGCACACCTGTAGGAGAAAGTTTTAACTGAGATGCTTCCTATGTAAACTCCACGGCACATCACGGCACAGGTCTTCGTAAGGGAATCATGGGGAATCAAGGGAGTTACCAGAAACATCTCAAATGTTCACCCGCAAAGTGATTTGCCATCATTGAACCACGCAGGATGACTATCCCTGAAACTTATATCATCCCTGCATTGGGTTGCTTCGTTTCCCTCCAGTCGCATAGCATCCGTCGCCTTACCTTTTCTTTCGGTCGGAAGCCTTAAGCCTCTCAAGATTCTTGTTTGCCTTTATGGCTTGAAGTAAGTAAGTAAACCATGGCCTTATCGAAACACTTGAACTTTTTTCAGCCGGTCTGGAGTATTTGGTCTTCGTTGGCGATCGCACCGACTCGCTTTGGACCGCATTGACTCCACCCATCCCAGCCCCACTCCGCCCCCCCACGGTGCCGGCACCTCCACCGGCTGCACATGTCGTGTGCTATCGGGTACTTCCTAGGCTGAAGATGGACGGATGTGGAGCTCCCACAGCACTTGAAGTGCATTTGGAAATCGCATCTATATTAATCTCGTGATTAGTAGACCCACCCATTTCAATTGGACATCCTCTTCTTCTGCGGTGCTTAAAAATATCAAGAGTCTACAAAAAACGTCAGATTGGGCTTTCGTGTTCACCTCCAAATCAACTCCGCCAAGATCACTGAATCCTCCCTGAAAGAAGCCCCATGAGTTGACCTGTGTGGTGAGTTCACCCTGACTCTCCGCTCGACGCAGCGAGGGGGCGGTTGAACCGCGCGCTCTCCGCTCTTGACCCGGGATGAAACCCAAGTGGCCACGGGTGGCGGCTTGGGAAGTTCTTCAGCAGCAGAGGCCATCAGTTGTCCAACCATCTTCTTGGTCAACGTAGAGCTCAACAAATCCTGAAAACAGCTGAGAAGAGGTGTGGAACGTGGCAACACCTTTAATCGTTTGTTTGATTTTGTTTGTGCTCTTCAGGTGCTTTTCCACGTAAATCAAAATGAGAAACGGCGGATGTCATCTGTTTCATCTATAGATACCTATGGAACCTATGGAACCACCAATCTTCAAAACGTCTCAAAACCACTGGTTTGTTTAGGAAAGATTCCTCCAGGAATGCTTTGACTTTGTTTGTTTGCCCAAAGCCTATAATATATTATTGTCTTCGGGATCTGTTGAGTCCAAGTCTTTGCCCAGAAACATATGATTACACACGGCCTCCTTCAACAAGTGTCACAGGATCCAGCTGTGGTAAAAATGCCATCCAAGCATCATCAGATGAGTTGAGTCATGACTGTGTACTGTATACTGGTGATTTCAACTCCACACAAGGCCCTTCTTTCCATTGGACATTTACACACAAACACACACACACACACACTCTGACATTGGTATTCAGATGTATTCAGTTACACTCAATTCCCAGGTAGAATGGCGATGGAACGGAAAGGTGAAAGAGTCGGCGCACTTGAAAAGTTTAACGTCTTGTTCACGAGTCTGCAGATCAATCAGCGCGGCTGCACATCAGCGGTGGAAAAAGGG